CATTATAACCACAATGAGATACTGCCATTAGAATGGCTAATTTTTTAAAATTAACAATGTCAAGTGGAGAGAAGATATACAGCAATGATAATGCCCATGAGACTGCCAGTGGGAACATGAATTGAAAATTTTGACATCATCTATTAAAGATAAACATGTAAACACTCTATGTACAAGCAGTTCCACACCCAGGTCAAAAATGTGTGACATGAAAATGCAGGGTCAAGAATGTCTATAACCACACTACTTATAATAGCCCCAAACTGGAAATAACCCAAATATCTACATATAGTGAACCGGACAGTGGGATGGAATAGAATGTACAGTGGTATATTCATTCAATGGAACACTATATAGCAATGAATATAAATAAGCTATACCTATGTGTAAACACAATGAACCTCACAAACATAATCTTGAGTGAAAGAAGTCAGGCAAACTATAGTATTTGGGGCTACATTTCCTCAGTGTAAAGCAAGGGTGTGAATACCACAAATTTGGGAGAGTAGTTACCTCTGAGCATTAGAGAAGAGGTAAGTAATGGGAGGACATGGAGGAACTAGGGGGCTAGCAGTGCCCTATTCCCCGACATGAGGGATTATTACCCGGTGGCCACTTTTGCTAAATCACAAAGATGTAAGCTGTATGTCTTTGTGCACTTGATGTAACTTCACATTTTAAAAATCTTTTTTAAGATGTAAGGATGGTAGGGCTGGGGAACGGGGTGGAAAAGGTGGAAAGGCATAAAGCAAAAAGTGCTAAAAGGATGGAAATGGAAGGTTGTGTAGAATTGTTTGGCTGTTACTTATAAGCCAACCACTGTTACCATGATTTTAGGGTGACCAGTGGCAGGAGAGGGTGGTGAGTGTGGTGAGTGTGTGTATGTGTTGTGTATGCATGAGTGTGGATGTATGTGTGTGAGAGAATGAGGGTATGTATATTAGACAGTGTGGGTATGCATACAATGCATGAGAGTATGTGGGAATGGATGGGTAGATGTGGGTGTGAATATGTTTATGTGTGGGTGTGAATGGATGTGGGTATGTATGTGTGGGTGTGTGGTGTATGTGTTTGGGTGGGTATGTGGGTATGAATGGGAGTATTGGGAATGGGTGTGAGTGTGTGGGTGTTGGGTGAGTGTGTGTAGGTGTGTATGAGTGTGTGTGTTTAGGTGGGTGTGTGAGGATGGGTGTATGTGTGTGAGAGAGAAAGAGAGATTCTCTTTAGCATCAGTGAGGAGACTTTGATTGAGATGGGGGAGGGAGAGACAAAAGATCCAGTGTAGTGGGAAAACAAGGGGCAATGGGGTGTGAATGGAACAGTGGGCCACAGGGCCTGGCTGGAGATGAACGCAGTGTCTGAGATGCACTGCAGGCAGCCTGCACCTCTCAGGGGCCTGGCCATCAGCCCATGGCTTTAGGATGTAATTAGCTAATTAGCAAATTGCCCTTGTCTCTCTAAGGCCAAAAGCAAGTCTCTAAACCCAGAACAAAATCATTCTTTCCCATGTTCCTAAAAACCTTAAGAATTACAAAGGTAAAAGGAACATTTGTTTTAGAAAGAAACTATGGAAATTGAAAATCAAAGTAGGCCAAGTATTTCCCAGGCAGCCGGCCTGACCTCCTAGCACACATTCTAGAGTCTGGTTTCAACTCACTGTAACTTGACAAACCTTTCTTCTTTTCTCATTGATTCCTAGCATATTCCAAACAGCTGCACCCATGGTGAGCCGTGGATTCACTGCCCACCTTCTCCCTCCACAGCAGACTCCCCTCCAGGCCACATACTGGACATGAGGTTGGCCCATTCAACTTAAAATACCTCCTCAACACCTTCCTATGAGCCTATCTTCCTGCCTGCCTACCTGTAGGTCCTGTCATCAGCGATGTGGTGGTCTGAGGGAAACTGGGGCTGGGGAAGTCCCTTGATATCCGGGGAAGAAGTAGGGCAAGGGTCAAGTGTGTGGCCAGTAGCTGGTGGAGAAGTCTGAGCTGAGATGCATAAGCTGACTGAAGTTTGAACAGTGAAGGGCCAAATCAGGAGCAGACAAATCAACATTGAAGGTCAAACACTCAATAAAGTCAGAACTCAGATGGGGCCCGGGACCATCTGAGAATATGTCATGGGAGTTCAAGCGTGGACCTTGGTATCAAGTCCTCGTTCTGGCATTAGCCAGCTGTGTAACTCTGAGCTAGTTACTGACCTCTCCTCACCTCATTTTTCTCTGGTAAAGTGGGGATAGGATGGGCAGGAGGATAGGCATGGGCATGCGGATTGGCATAGGAAAGCGGATGGACAAGGGAATGGGGATGGGAATAGACATGGGGTTGGACATGAGCATGGGGATGGGCATAGGAATGGGAATGGGAAGGGGGATGGGCACAAGGATGCCGATGGAGATGGGGATGGGCTTGGGGAAGGTGAGGAAATGGGTTTGGGAGTAGGAATGGGCATGGATATGGGCATGGGCAGGGGTGAAGACTCATGTGCTAAGCAAGATTTCAAGTATAACAGATGCATCCATATCCCAATGGATCCTGAGCCTGTGAAAGGCAGAGACTTAGCCCTGGCATGAGTCCCATGAGGAAGTGAACATGCACGGGTGCATGAACAATAATACTAAGCTCGCCTGGGTGTCCGCCTTTTCTAAGCTTGCTTATTCTGTCGGCTCCTTTGCTAGTGGAGTCCATTCCCGACTGTGACAGCCCCGGGTGCTGGGGTCTCCGCTCTCTCCAAGCCTGGTACCAATCCTGATGAGCGCGGTTGGGCTGATGCCCATTTTCCTCTCCTGGCCCCACACTCCTCCAGCATCTCCCATCTAGCTCGCTCCCGGCCTCCTCTCCAGCATTGCCAAGTGTCCCTCTCCACTGCCCCCTCCCTTTCTGCTTTCAAATATTCCCAAGTGTCCCGCTCCTCTGAGAAATTCTTTCCTTGACCCCAAGCTTCCTGACTTCTATTTTTCTCCTTTTCTACCAAAACTCCCAGGGAGTGGCCTGGGCCAGCTGCTGCCCTTTCCACACTCCCCAGGGCCTCGCAGCCTCGCATCCATCCTCGACTCTGTCACTGCAAGAGAAACAGAGGGCATAGCCAGCAGGGGCCTCTGGAAAGTGTGCGCGTGCAGGCACACACACAGAGACACACACAGACACACAAACACAAAGGCACACACACAAATACACATAAACACATGTGTACTCACAGAAATACACACAGACACACATACATAGAGACACACAGATACACACAGAAATATACATAGACACAAACAGACATATACACTCAGGCACACATAGAAATATACAAATACACACAGGAACATACACACAAACATGCACTCACAGACACAGACATATACAGAAACACAGGTTCACATGTGCACATGAACATACATGTACTGGGACACACATGGAAATACACACAGAGACATAATCACATACACACAGAGACAAACACAGAGAAACAGACATACACATGCACCGACATACAAGCACATAAGCACATACAGACACATCAGAAACACACACAGACACTCACACTCACCCATCTGATATGGCAGCCAGGGGGCCCTCAGTTCAATTAGAGGAGACGAGGAGGAAGCTGCAGGCCACTCCACCCCAGCCTGAGGACTCCAGACCCGTGATGTTGGCAGCAGAGGGTGAAGTGAGGGTGCTAGAGCTGCCCCACAGGGCAGATCATGTTTCTGGAGCCTGAAAGTTCTGCAACTAGAGCACTTGGAAGACATCAAAAGAGTGAAGTGCTTGTCAGGAGGCTTAGAGGGAGACTGTGACCCTGAAACCCAGAAGGTCAACAAAAGACACACACACACACATACACACACAGGGACACACAGAGAAACAGGAGCCACCACCCCTGCCAGCATGGAGCAGATCGAATCTGAACCCAGGAACTCCGGCTTCCCATGTGCTTGCCCTTCCTTGTCTTTCTGCTTCTCTCATGCTGACTCAATGGAGCGCAAACAAGTGCCAAACCAGAGCTGCCAGCACAGAGTGGCCTCTGGGTCTCTGGATGCCAGGAACACCACCCTGAGTGGTACCTGGGGCTGGGCAGAGCGGAGAGGGGAGCACCTCCTCACCCATAAATAAGTCTCCTGTCCTCTCCTCACTACACAGGGCCTGCATTGATCATAAAGTTTATGAATTGTTATTTACTGACACTTTCAAAAATATATATTTATTGATTTCAGAGAGGAAGGGAGAGAGAGAGAGAAAGAGAAAGAGAGAGAGAGAGAGAGAGAGAGAGAAATATCAATGATGAGAATCATTGGAGCGAATTGTTGATCAGATGTTAACATGTGCACACAAACATATATGCCCCCTACTGGGGATTGAGCCTGCAACCCGGGCATATGCCCTTGACTGGAATCGAACCCAGGACCCCCCAGTCCTCACACCGATGCTCTATCCACTGAGCCAAACCAGCTAGTGCTACTGACACTTTTTATTCTCTGTTCTTAGATATTTTTAAATAAGCAACTTGAATATTCATTATTACTTTTTAAACTCTGCTGTTTGTGTGACTGTTGACCATCCTCCCAAGAGCTGCCTCACAGAACAGAAAAGTCACTTACCTGCTCACTCACTTCTCCCTGGTGCTCAGCTCTCTCTGGACACCAGGCATCACAGGGGGGACTTGACTCACCCCCGCACCCCCACCATCCAGGAGGAAGCGTGGGTATGTTAGGTGTGTGTGTGTTCCTGTTTAAATAGAGTTGTCACTCTGACTGCACTGTGGAGTCACCTGACTGTTCCTAAAAGCCAAGCCTTCTGCAGACAGCTCATCAGAATCAGGGAGCTGAAGCCTGGCCGTGGGATGTTTCGGGGCCCCAGGGGCTGTGCCAGCAGAATGCCGGGCTCCGCCATCCTCCCCCAGCAGAAGGCTCCTGTGAAGGGCACGGCCCTGAGTTCCTGCATTTTTACCTTCACCTTTGTTCCCACCCGGACCACTACTTCACAGCTTCTGAGCTTCCCTGCTTCCCTTACCTGAGAGTTTTCTGAGGTTCCCCATGTTCCTTCAGTGTCCTGATGGTTCCTTCAGGAGCTTGATCCCACTTCCCCGTTGGTCAGTTTATTTGCTGCTGCCAGCCATGCTCTCTCTGCCACCACAGGTGGTCCAGGAGCCTGAGTCTGCCATAAATGGGGGCATTGTGACATCAGCAGTTGCCATGCCCACACCCTTGAACCTTCTATCCTGTTCTCTTCCTCCCCTGAGCCCAGCCTGAGTCAAAAATGCCGTCCTCACCTTACGTGCTGGGCCTTAGACCAGCTGCATGAGCATGACTCATTTGACATCTCTAACACGGACAGGGAGTGAGATCATTGAGGTCACTTCATTCTAACAAACATTTACGGTGCATCGGGCCTGGCTGGGTACAGAGGTGGAGGAGACCGGTAGTCGACTCAGTGCCAGAATCATGTATAGCTGATTAAGACCCACCATGCAGGTTCCCACCCCTCAGTAGATCAGGAGTGCGGCTCAAGAATTTGTCTTTCTAACAAGCTCCTCTCAGCATTCTCCTGACACAAGACACTCAGGACCAACAGCAGAAAATCCCTGTCACCAAGAAGCTGTTTGAAATCATCCCCTCAGCCTCCAGCGGCCTGTCCCTGTTCGCCACGGGGCTCGTGTGCAGCTAACCTCACTGCAGCCCCATCTCCAAATCCTCCTCCAGGATCCAAGGAGGCCTGGCCAGAGCAGTCTGGGAAGTGTGGCCTTGTCCCTGCCGTGGTGGCCTGGGGACAGCACCAGAGCCAGGCCCGACTTCTCTGTCAGTCCTCGCCCCTGCTGGGAGCCCCTCTGAAATGTCTCCTGTGTCATCGTCTCACTGCCCCGCCATGCTAGGCCCCACCCACAGTCTGTCAGCCAGGACCCCAATGCCTCCGGGCTCTGCCATCAAAGCCAGCACTTCATCCGCCCCAGCATCACCACGACTCTCTGTGGTCTCCTCTTCTGCAGGTCCCCTGGAAACTGGGGAGAGAGGTGCACACTGGGGCAGGCCCAGGATTAGAAGGCAGATCTTTCTCTTTGTTATCACATGATGGTAGGAAAATGCACCCAAATGTTCCCCAGTGGTTCCTTACTGCCTTCCCTTACTGCCCAGGAGCCAGAGCCCCTCAGATCCTCCCCATCGCTGCTCCAGAGCCTTCCTCTGCCACATCCCCCTTCTTCTCCAGTCAGACCCCCCTCCTCACTCTGTAACTGTCCCCCAGTGGGACCGAGCCTCTAGTCTCTCCTGGGCATCATGAAAGACACTGCAAGCAGGGACAGAGCCCACTCCCAGCTGTTGGAGATGCCGGAGGGCGCGCATGGCCAGGGGAGGGGAGATCTGGGAGGGCCTGAGTTCTCTCCGAGCTATAGTAGGGGAAACTGTGGACACCTCTGTGTTCACAGGCCAGGGGCAAACAGAGATCTGAGGTGTGTGGATGGCCAGTGAGCTGCCCTCTGGTTTCACAACAATTCCACAGATGCAAGCCTGAAGCCCCATGTGGCTGGGAGGGGCTCCGAGCTATTTACAGACCCAGCACTGCAGGGGACGGGCCAGGGCCCAGTGGGGCGTCAGACCCATGCACCCACTGGTTAAAGAGCCAGAGTGACACATGGGGGCCATCAGCCCTGCCACCTGCCAGTGCACAGACGGTAGGCTGTGAGAAGGATGGGCTGTGTAAGGGTGCACTGACCAGCCCCAAGACACCCCCACCTTCAGGGTCCTTCAGTGCACCCCACAACCTCAGCACTGGTGCTCCCTGTGACTTCCAAACAGGCAGGGACTGAGCATGCCCCGATCTTTCATTCAGGGCAGATGAGTTAGGGCACCTGGGGTTCCAGAGCTGGCTCAAGGTCACCCCTGCATGCACCCAGTGCCAGATCTGTTCTCACTTATCATGCACTCACTGACCCTGTGTTCAGTCTTCTACACAGACCTAATGCGCAGGTCCCGCTATTTTAATCCCCATTTTACAAAAGAAGAAACAGGCACGGAGAAGCTGAGTGACTTGCCCAAGGACACGCAATCACAAGTGGAAGAACCAGATGTGCAAACTCCAGAACATGAGCAACTACGAAGGGGAAGCCCAGGGAGTTCTGCACCGATCTGGTGGAAGGTGCCCGGAGCTCCAAGCCCCCGCCCTCCTTCCCTGTGTGAGCCATTTTTCCCCCTCCTTCCCCCAAGCCACTGGCTAAAGGGACTCAGACTATCTCTTTGGCCTGCACACTCAGATTTTCTATGAAAATAAAAGAAAGTCAGGGTAAAATCAAGGCTTTGGGTCAGAATTTTATCAGTGCTCACTCGGGGTCCCCAATTTGCCTTCCAGGTGTCAGATAACGTTACACATCACCCCATCCTAGCAGGGCCCGCATGGCCCTGCACCTTCAGCTGAGTGAGTCAAAGAGGGACCTGTTATCACACCAGGCAGTCTACTGCCTGGTCTCTGACCTGGCAGGGCCGGCAACCAAAGAGGACCAGGACCCAACCAGTTCTCTGGGAACACAGACAGGAGGGAAGGAAAGAACTGGCGCTCCACAGCAGAAGCCAAAGCTGACAGGGTCCCGAGTAGCAGAAAGGCCTGGAGGGGTCACCGCACACGCAGATGAACCCCCCACAATGCACCTGGTGGACGTGCCTCTTAAAGCTCTTTTTATGCACAGCTTCCCCTCGCCTCTCTTATTTTGTTGCCTTGTTTGTAAAAGAAACTGAATTTTCCACAGCCCAGATGGTGCTGCTTACATCTCCATGGTGTCCTTTAACTATTCCTCTGCTCCCTATAAATCAGTCGTAAGATCTAGAGCCTTAAGCAGGTCAGTTTTGCTTTTCCAAGATGATGTGGTAGTAAGTACGCAATGCTCACTTGTTTCTCATTTTGTGATGTTAGCAGCTGTTGATGATGGTTGACTAGAAAAGTTATTTTATTAAAAGCTTCAAATTGGCAATATTCTAACTACATCATTTCTTCTTCATTTTTTTTTTCAAGTCCAGAATACTTCAAAAGGAGACATTTCTTATCAAGGTTACACTGAGGGGCATTTTATGGGGGGGAAAAACAAGGCAAATTCTGAATTTCTACCCCTTCTTTATTATTTTCAAAATAATAAACAGGATACTTTGCATGCTCCAAACATGACTAAAATTACTGGGTTTTGTAATAGATTTAAGTAATTTGGAAGTGATTCGGTCCACAGCAGGTCGTATTCCCATGAATATTCGCATTGTTCCTTCTCTAACTAGGCAAAGCCTTTTCAAGCTGGTTCCTGAGTCTTCCACATGACTCTAGAAGTCTTTGCTAGCTTCCTTGCTGTTCTTTTTTTAAAAATATATATTTTATTGATTTTTTACAGAGAGGAAGGGAGAGAGATAGAGAGTTAGAAACATCGATGAGAGAGAAACATCGATCAGCTGCCTCCTGAACATCCTCTACTGGGATGTGCCCGCAACCAAGGTACATGCCCTTGATCGGACTCGAACCTGTGACCTTTCAGTTCGCAGGCCGACACTCTATCCACTGAGCCAAACCGGTTTCAGCATCCTTGCTGTTCTTATGACAAGTTGTTCTGGGCTCATCCGGAACATGAGCTAAGCACTTTCCTTCCTTGGGTGAGAAAAGTTATAGCAGGCCGCACAGCTCTCACTCCCCAGCTCTCTGGCCACAACCTCGCCCTCCTCAGATGTCTCGCAGGACCTTCACGCAGAGCCCATCCGGGAGCAGCCTGCACTTCATAATATCTTCTCCAGGTAGATTTCCAGAGATTAATTACTGTTTTGCAAATCGGTTATTCCGCTGAAGCTCTGTGGGCCTGGACATCAGGAAGGGCTCACCTGGGTAGTTCATCTCTGATCCACATGGAATCAGCCAGGGCAGCTGGACTCAAGGGTCCATTTCCAAAACGACATCCTCATTACATGCCTGGCATCTCTTTTTCTCCCTCTTCCATTTTTCTTCTCTCTTCCCCATGGTATCTCGTCCTCAAGGCCTCTCCATGTGGTTTGTAGTCTTCTCCAGCCGAGTGGTCTCAGGGTAGTCATACTTCTCACATGGATTCTAGCCTCTGAGAGGTAAGAAGTGAACTACAGGGCCAGCCAAGGGCTACTCCTAGAACTGGCACAGTGTCACTTCTGCCACATTCTATTCGTCAGAGTCACAGCATTTTCCCAGTGTCAAGAAGGCAGTGGAGGAATGACAAGGAAAATGTGTAGAAGAGTGTGTGCAGTAGGAGGTATATTGTGATACTGGCAGTCATCCATTCATTGACACAACAAATAATCCTGAGTCAGGCCAGGAACTCTTGCTGAGGATTTTATACAGAACATCTGAAAAAATGAGAAAGGTTTGGAAACGATATCAATTTTTAACTGAATTTACCTTTAATTCCCAGATTATCTTTTGTAAATCTCACAAAAAGCAAACCTTGCACATCTTAGGCGAGCACCAGTGTCACCTCCTCTATGCAGCCTTTCCTGACCTCTCTTCGGGCATGTTGTTGGCTCCCACAGCACCTCGTTCACACCAGAAGTGCAATTAATACATCTAGGTGTAGCTGAATCCACATCTATCTATAATAATAAAAGCATAATATGCTAATTAGACCGGACATCCTTCCAGACATCCTTCTCGGATGAAGTTGGGGCTACAGCCATGGGATCGAGGCAGATGCCACGGCTGTGAGGGAGGGATCCAGGCAGCTGTGGCTGCAAAGGCCTACTCTTGCATGAATTTCATGCATCAGGCCTCTAGTCCCAAATAAAGATGGCATTTCCCAACCACCCTCATAACTAGAGGCCATGAGGCTAAGTTCTGGCCCATGAATTGTAAATGGAAGTGGAAAGTGCAGTTTTCAGGAAAGGTTCCTAAAAAGAGGGAGTGTACCTTTATCCTTTCCTTTCCCGGTCTTGCTGCCTGGATACAGGCATGGTGGCTGGTGCTGGATCAGCCATTTTGTACTCTATGCTGACTGGGAATGGAAGCCAGCCAGGCAGACAGCAAGGAGCTCAGTTCCTTGCCACTTGGAGGGCACTC